GAGATCTGCTGACATAATAGAACAAGAGTTGTATAATCCTTTTTTTGTGGGGGGGCAGGCAGGGTAGACTCCTTTAGAGTGAATTTTTTCATAGTCTACTGGCCCTTGACTCTGTACCACTGTAGATCCCTCAAATTTGCCAAACACATGCAATCTGTTTTTCTTTTGAAATTTCTCCCTCTTCTGCACCACTAGGGAATTCAGGAACAATTCACACTAAGCCAACCTATAACCTGGTGAAATTAACTCAAATGATCCTCTTGATCATGGTCTTTAGGGCAGGAGATCTCAAAGAACCCCTAATGGACTCTGAAAGCCACTTTCAAGACCATTACAGTTAATTACATTACAGTTTACAGTTAGTGTGACCCCACTCAGTTATTTATCTGAAAACATGTAAATATTCGATTTCTTAGCTGAGCTGAAGTAAACAAAACAGAAAAATTCTCTGTAGTAATAGTTTTAACAAAAGCCTGTTTTACATAGATAAATCTATAAATCTATCTTTATGTTTCCCTAATGGTTCCATGAAATTCTTATTCCTTCTGAGGTACTTTATCTCAGGGTTAACATGACCATTGTCTGAAGTGCTTCTGGAAGCACTACTGCAAGGGCTGAGAAATGACCAGGCTTCCTTTTAGTTCTTAGCAAGAGTAATTGAATGTAGAATATCTTACTAAATGCTAGACTGTGACAGTGTGTTAACACTGACTATCTCCTAACAGCAGAGCAATTATTTGCTGAGTGGGACTTTTATAAATCCCCTGGCACTAGTATGTCCTGATAATTATGATGAAGTGCATTGGTCAGTGTTGATTCAGCGGTCCCCACCCTAGCAAATATTCCATTCACACGTCTCTGTCCCACTTTTCCTTTTCTAGTTATTAGCAATCTTTACTACTTTTCTCTATGTGTTTAGTGTCTTTTTTTAAAAGAATTTTTAATCATCATGAGCCAAACTTACTTTAGATAGCTCTTCATTTGGAGTAATTTATTTCTCACAGTAGTCACACATTTTAATTCAATGACAAGTCGTTTTAAGGTTTTGTTCCTTTTGTGGCAATGAGTGATTTCAAAATATGTTGTGGAATTGGCATTTGTGGATTTTTCCAATTTACCCAGTATATTGCATAGTTATTCGTTACTGGAAGAAGCTGTTATTATGACCTGATGAGAAATGATTACTTCTCATTTGGTAAGATATGAAATTGGAGCATGATAATTGTGACTTGGTAGATAGAAGTGCACACAATTGTTTCAAATTCTACATATTTTGTAGAATTTCGTGAACTTCAGAAACCAAGGGAAGAGACGAAAGGGAGACTATAGCTTCCTTGAGCAGTGACAAAATAAAGGTCAGCATGTGAATGGAAATGAGCATAAAAACAGCAAAAATTTCTCATGAAATAAAACAGCAGATGTTCTGCATGTAACAAGTATATCCATTTGTTTTCAGATCAATTGAATTTCTACAGTACTTACACTATACTTAAGTCTGAGAATAAAAACAGGAAAAAAAGCCAATGGATAGATTGTTAGAAATATGGAATGGTTCAAAATATTAATGTAATGCTAAGGGTGACTGGGTAACAAATGGCACATTTGCTCATTCCTCAACATGACATAATTAATATTCTAGGTCATGCTTAAGTTCCCATGATGGATTGTCTGAAGGGGTAAATTCAAGAAAAAAAATATCTATTATATAACTCATTGCTTTCTTTTTTCCCCCCCTTCTTTTTTTTTTAACGAGTGAGAATCATAGCTTTTAAAAATATCAGTGCTTTCACACCTCATTTGCCGTATTCACCACTGGGCCAGCAGTCAGCAGCCAGGCCTGATGCAGGGAGGTCAGTGAGAAGCTATTAGCAGAGTCCTCTCCTGAGATTTCCTGGGTCTTATTGAGTTGGATGTTAGCATGACAGTACTGCAAATAGCTCAGTTGTACTTTCTCCTTTTTCTCTCTCTCTTTCTTTTTTTTCTAAACAGTTAGCACAGATTTCCCCACAGTGTTGGTCACTCTAGAAAATCATTGCTGAAAATGAAGTCCCAGAAAGCTAGCCTGGCAGGAGCACTTCTAAGTAGTGAAAAATGGAAAAACGGAAAAAAGATGTCATAGTCCCTTAGGGTGAACTATGTCTTTTGTAGCACATACTATAATTTTGAAAAAAACCAACAATAAAGTGTTATCCTTAAGTGACTTACAAATTATGAAAGATGATGATCGAGACAATCATAAGTTAAGGCAATTTTACTTACTTAAATAAAAATAAATAGATATTGTATCAATATAAATAAATAGCGTGTCTTCTTGCTGTAGGGATTGAGGAATGGCTGGACTGCTTTTGTGGATGTTCAGTTATTAAATATATAACATTAATTTTGAAAATGGTGACACCTTGAACATTCCATATGGTACATTTAAATTCAATTAAAATAGATTTTCTCTTCATATTTGATTTAAATTGCAAAGAGAATACACCTGAGAAGGTCTCCATATAGTTTGGAAAATATAATTTAAGAAAGCTATCAGGTCTACTGATCTATTTGCATTTCCCATCTAGCCTATGTATACATGTACATGCAAATGTGAAAGAGATCAAAGCTGATTCCTAATGGGGTAAAGCTAGTAAGTGGTAGCAGGTAGTCAGGCAGATAGATATTTTTAGATGATAAATTTTAATCTAGTTAAACGATATAGTTCACCATTTTAATATATAAGGTTGTAGAAATTTTAATGTACACCAGTAGATGTCAGCTTAATGAGTTCATAATTAGTCTTACATGTCTTCTTAGGCTATGCAGATGCATTTGTTAATATATGCAGATGTCTTTTGTTAATATAGCACTTGTGTTTTTTCCTCATTACAGTCGATGCATACTTCTCATAACAAATTACACTGAACACCAGCTTAAAATGTAGTACCACTTAAAACTTACTTCCCACTTAAAACTATTGAGAATATTTATTTCCTTATTAATATTTGTTTATGTTGTCTGTCTACATAGACATTAGGTTGTCATCTAGAGTTATAGGGAAATTAGTATAGTATTAAAAGTAGTGTTTACAATTGTCCTCAACAATTTTTAGAACTTTTTTTTTTCTTCTATCAATTAAATGGGTTGGAAGCAGGTCAAAACCACTGGGCTGATCCACAGCAGAAAAATGAGGCTTTCTATGCCTACAGGGTCACAGTCTCAGAAACCCACAGGGCAGTCCTACCCTGTCTTATAGGGTGGCTATTATTCCTAGTCCACTTGATGGCCGTGGATGTGGTGTTTTTAATGAATGAATTAAACAGGCAAGAAGAAAATCTCAAAAAGCCATGTCAAAAATATTTTTTAAATGTAAATGTGCTTACATGAACTTACTTATATATAATAAAATTTATTTTTTAGGGGAAATTATGTGGGAGGTAGGCCAACTGGGCCAGTAACGATTTAGCTCTAGAAGATTCCAATGTGTTTGCAAACAGACTGAAGCTATGTGTGAAGAATTTTGTTTTAAAAAGATAGGTTCCAGAATATTCTTCAAAAGCAATAAACAAGATTTTGAAATAAATCTCAAACTTTTTATTAATATATTGCTATGTGGCTTTAGAAGAATACAATGGAACTTTTCTTGAGTGTTTCTGATCTGTGCATCGTTAGTCTTGATAAGCAGTTAGCATTCAGTTGTGGTCTATTGTGTGCCAGACACTCTGTGGGGTCACAGATACAAAATACGTAAGACAGAGTCCCAGAGCATCAGCTGCGTGCTTGAGGAAGACTGGCACACACAAATCTAACCATGAGACAATGTGGTAGGCACTGTGACAGGCATACCTGCAGGCCATTAAGAAAATGCCTAGAGCTAGGAAACCAAATCCAGCCTGGGCAGGTAATAAGATAGAGGTAACGCTTATTCAAGTGTTAGGCTAAAAATATATTTTCTAGAACAGTCCCTCCCCTACCCCCTGCCTGAAACAACGTTATTTAGATTACATGCTTTGTAACCTCCAATGACTTGAGATAAGTAAAAGCAACAAGATTGTTCATGGATACGATGTTAGTAGAAAAGATAAAGTACACTTCCAGGAAAAACAGGTTTTCTGGGTACATTCTTTACAGAGAGTCTACAGAACAACTAAACAAGTCATGCCATCATTTAAAATTTAATGTTGACTTGTGAATACGTACCTGTGTATTTTCATAGAATACCAAAATTCAGTTCCAGGGAGTTTATGTACTCAGACTTTGTCTATTCAGAATATGGATAATGGATAACTTGAACTTAGCACTCATCTTGTGTAAAAACTGGATTGGTGCCAGGCACTGTGCTATGTAAGTGTTGACTCTATTTTGATGCAGTGTATGCCAAGGTCAACCGCAGCACAGCAAGAGAATCATGAGGCAACAAAAGACCTAACCACATGATGACACCACATTAAATTTAATACAGCATTTTGAGTAATACAGCCCAGAGGGTGTGTGATACCCTTTTGATTACTTTAGAATTCCAAAGTACTGAAGACACAGTCATTGCCATTCGGGGTGTAATGAGTCATCATTCGAACAATCGAGTATATATTGAGTTCTTTATTTTGTATCTACAGCTGATTGTATATTTGAGTTTGTGTGTGTGGATATATGATTTTGACATGGTTCAGCCTGTGTATTACATGGCTAAACTATTAAATAGATGGATCAAGATCCTTTTTTTATTCTTAAATAAATACTAGAAAATATGCCATGTGTGGCAGTCGCTGTAGCTTGGTAGTTTTAACATGTTTAGTCTTCAACCCTGACAGATTCTGAGGCTGTTGGTCTGGAGTGGAGCCATTTTACAAGTCAGTGGTAAAATTCCTTTAACCTTGAATGACTATGAAGTCATCCAGCACTGGTTAAGAGTCAAATGTCTAGTGTAAAATATGTCTTAAACATATGAAAAATATCATGGCTCAGCTTTATCTTACTTTCGTGTCATATGAACATTGAAATTGTTTTTTCTTCTTCTTTAGATTCCAGGAATATACAACTCACCATTCAGAAAAGAGCCTGACCCATGGGAGTTGCGGCTACAAAAAGCAAAGCCTTTGACTCACCGAAGACCTAAAGTTAAGCACAAGTACACCATCGACCTTGACAGTTGGCTAGCTTGCACGAGCTCTCGTTCTTTTCCTCGGTCTGAGATTCTGCCACCCATTAATAGGAAGCAATGTCAGGTATGGAGTAGTCCTATGGAATAATTCTGGCAATGAGTGTATCCTTGCTAATTTTCTTAAGGTAATTATTCTTTTTTGTCTCTGCAATAAATATTATTTTTACAAAATCTAATTTTACACAGCAAATACAACATATTTAAAAATAACTATCGTCAAGCGCTTCATTGGTACTGAAATTTGTTGTATAGAATATCAAGTTAAAATATAGATTATTGGCTAGGATCTAGACCTTTGTTTCCCAAAGTTGGTGGCCCTGCCCCATAGTGGGGGCATTGAACTATCTGGGAGCGCTGCCAAAGCAGATACCTATACTTTGTCCCGGATGATGGGCTACAGTATTTTACAAAAGTTCTTTATCGTAGGGGAGGTGCTGTTTTGTTTTTCTGAAAAGGGGGTGGTATGTCAAGTAAGTTTGGCAATCTATGAATTTTATACTTTACAATGTAAAAATATTGTTATAGCAGTACCTGTTATAATCTGTTGTAGCTGGAAAAACCTTTATGTATTTATTATGAAATTTATTTAATTTGATCTCACATCTAATGGTTAATATGGTATCCTAAAAAAATCAGTTCCTATCTGTTATGACTTGTGAAGACCCCCACGTGTGACAGAGTAGAACTGTACCCCATAGAGTTTTTATTGGCTGATTTTCTCAAATAAGTTGGTTGGTCTTTTTCCTGAAGCACTTTGGGTAGACTTGAGCCTCTAACCTTTTGGTTGACAGCCAAGCGCATTAGGCATTTGCACTGGGAGCTTCATGGCCGCCCTTCACACCTTCAGCTAGTTAATCATTTGAGATAACCCTGCCTCTATGCTGCAGATATTTTCCTACTTTCCTGTAATTATTTGTGATATGGTGTTTCTGCTTTCTATAATTAGACCCTTAATTTTCTTGATTTGTATATATCCATCTCTCCCATACATATGCATGTATATCTACATATATGTATATATATATATTTGCTTTCTCAAAACAACTTTTATTCAATGCTATGTTAGTTCTGTATTATAAGAGGAACTATAAAAATTGATTGAAAATCTATAGTCAATTTTCTCCCTGAACTACTCTTTTCTCTTATCCTGATTCATTTCCTAAAAAAATCTATATCAGTATTGTTAATTACCTTTAATCTAATTTGGCCAAATAAGATATACTTACTGCCATCGACTCAATGCTGACTCATAGCTGTTCCATGTGGGTTTATCAGACTGTAACTGTTTACACAAGTAGAAAGCCCAGTCTTCCTCCTGTGGAACTCCTGGTAGCTTTGGACTGCCTACCATGTGGATCACACACCAACGCGTAGCCACTACACAACCAGGTCTTCATAAATAAGCTATAGAAGAGGACAATTTTTCCTCTTTCTTTAAAGGACGGGCAAGCAGCATAGAGTCGAGCAAAGAAACACATGAGACACTGTAGATAGTAATAAATATTTCAGTTAATTTGACACACATTAAAAAAATATGATTGCATATTTCTTTTAAAAATATGAGTTATGTCAATAGTATAATAAATACATTTAAATAGTTTTAAAATAAATATAAATTAAGCTTTATATTATGAGTAATTGCATTTTCATCATTTTCATTGTGGACGTGGCTATATTACTGTAATAATGATTTTATATAACATCAACAGGATGTAATATACAATTAAGTAGTCATAGTAAGAGGAAAAGAAACAAACTCTAGTATCTCCATAGTATATATATTGAGCATGCCATAATTGGTACATTATCTGACAACATATTTACAAGAGTCACTGCAGGTAAGTGGATTACAACCCAGAGGGATCCCATAAGGCAGAGGAGAACTCCCCAGCAGGGGCTTCCGTTCTGTAATCTTGACCAAAGGAGACTGCCACCTCCTTCTGGTAGGGTCAACTTATTGACCTCTCGGTTAGCAGTCAACTGCTTAATCACTGTGCCACCAGGGACCCTTGGATATGACATTGCATGCTTTAATATTTAATAATTGACATTTTGTACCATATTTATTAAGCTAGTTATTGGTTCTACATGGAATTCATAGAAAACTTTCGCATGACATTAATTACGAAATGTGAAAAAATATGGTATGCATTAAGATCAAGATGCATAAAATACTTCTGAGTTAGAAAAACCAGAGTTGGAAAATTATTTAAGAAGAGTTTATAGTTTTGATATTTAACATTAGGTTTCCTGTTTTGTGTTTGTCAGTATAGTCTTGTTTATATAAAATTTTCTCATGTCTGTTATAATACTCTTCTTAGTGCGACCATTTTATTTTTTCCATCCCACTCTCTCTAGACAGGTATAGATATATACATATTTATATATACTTAGGGTTATATATATGCACATAGAAAATATTTTTACATACTTGTAAATACATGTATGCTACACTGGAAGAAGAGGCAGGTGCATTGTCTTGATGGGGAAAAAATTCTCAGAAGAACCTTCCTGGCCTGTTTTTCATCAATAGTTTCCCATTCTCTTCAAACTTCTTCATAATAACCCTCATGACCATTCTGGGTCCTTTGAGAAACCCTATCAAAAATACCCCTATGGGTCTCCCTAAAACTGTCTCCATACCCTCTGAGTTGATCTCTCTGTTTGGAATCAGTAGATATCCTTAGAAGCTCCTTTGTTTTTTTTTGTAAGGCACCCTAATGAAACAAAAGTATTACTCAGAGAATTTGTCTCCTGATCACTGAGACATGTATGAACACAGTCTGTTTGTAATAAGTCCATGCATAGATGAGCAGGAATCCTAATAGTAATAATTAATGACTTTCATCTATCTATCTATCTATCTATCTATCTATCTATCATCTATCTATCTATCTATCTATCTATCTATCTATCTATCTATCTATTTATCTATCATCTATCTATCTATCTGACGGGGTAACCCCTGTGTTAGTCTGGGTAAACTAGGGAAACAAATCCACATAGACTCATATGTATGAGAGAGTTTTATATAAAGGGTAAGTGTACATTAAGAAAGCATCCCAACCCAGTGCTGTCCAAGACCATAAGTCCAACATTAGCCCATATGTCCAACACCGATCTACAAAGTCCTCCTCAATCTCACAAAACATGCGCAATGACACTGACTGCAGGAGGAAAGCTGAATCAGTGAGCTTATAAGCATCTGGTCTCCACACAGCTGCTCCAGCACCCAGGGCTGCATTGGGGTAGATCCATGTGGTTTCTCCTCAGGGATGTCTTGCAGGAAGTGAGCCTTGCCAGCTGCAGCAGGAAACTGGGTAAGACAGCTGCACCCTGGTCTGACCATAGAGAGCAAGAGACCCGAGAACTAGAAAGGCGAGGCTCACTGAGCCATTTAGTTCTCTGCCCTTCAATTAATCCCACATGTGTTTAATCAGCCAAGTTGGCACAATAAACTTAACTATCTCACCCCCCAAAACCAGAATTTTTTTCAAAGCCATGTATTTAATTTTTTTTACAAAACAGCCTTCTCACCTTCAAAGTACTCTCCATTATACTTAATACATTTTTCAAATCTGAGATTCCATTCTTGGAAACATTTTTGAAGCTAATCTGTTTGGATGGCTGACAGCACCTCCCTTATAATTAGGGTTAAGGAAAGCTAAACATTGGAAAAGCTTAACTATATGACCATGAAGAGCTATAGGTTTAAACTGAGTCTTGGTGGTCTAGGCATTCTGGAGATTAATATTTGGAAATGAGTCTCCTGAGAAGATTTAGAGTTATCCCCGAAGTCTGTGGTCACATATCACTTAAGATATACTCAGGTGCTAACCTGAGATCTTAAAGGGAAGCTAGCAATAGAATTATGAATAAATAAGAACTTTGGTGTTGTAGATGTATAATGATAAGTGTCAATTTTGTTGTCCTCAAAGGATCATTTAGATCAAAGGCCAAGACATTAATTGTCTAAAATAGAAATAGCTAGACCAGGCACTGAAATACATAGGGAAAGAGTACATAATTGTAGAGGAGTATGTTCAGAAAGATTATAGTGAATCTTGAGGGAAGAAAATCCATTTTATTCCTAAATTGCATGTGCACACACACACACACACACTTATTTAAAAGTAAACTACTCTGTTTCCTAGTCTTAGTCAAACTAGAATTGGGGTAAACCTGCAAACAAGCAATCTGTGGGGTTAAAGGGGAGAAGGAACCCCACAAAACATAACAGGTTCGGTAGGCGCAATTGTACAGCGATAATAAGTAGAGATTACAGTAAAGTCATAGTGAGTATGAGAGTTAAAAGATGGAGTCAAGTAATGGAGTCAGACGCAATTCATGGTAGCATTGCTCGTCTCAGCCCCGCTTGATGGTCCTCGTGGAGGGGACTTAGCTGCCAGAGTAGAAGCATCTGCCTTGTCCTCCTCAGCCACCCTCCCATGAACCAGGGAGCCTCCTTATTTATTGCTAACCACGCAACATATTATTTTAGGGGGATACATCACAGCATTATGCATCACAGAGAGGGGCAGTACAATTCATCCTTGAACAGGTCTGATTATTCTGGTGTCTCATACAATAAAACAGACAATTACTATCCTGGGAGGCATGCAAGCCCCCTGATAGCAGATAACAATCTATGTCATAGAGAGGGGTTGTAACATAGGCAATACAAGCAATAGGAGGGGGATGACCTAGGGGTGAATGTGCAATAGTAAGAGGAGGGAATAGGGGGGCATGTGTGGCAAGATGGTGGCCTAAGCTTAGTCATCTTAGAGTGGTCCCAGGCTTGCCTATGGGCACTGCTTCAAGGGAGCAATAATAGAAAGGAATGGGCCCTATTTGTTGTGGGATAAACAGTGGTGTCTGCTTGATCTAGACAGCTGATACCTCTCAGTGAGAATGACTCCCAATCCACTCTTGATGGCTGATGTTAGGGAGGATAACCTCTGACCTACTTTCGCTGACCGCCTAGTGTACAGTCATTCTCAAGACATATTTTTGGGGGAGACAGCTTGAGAGAAATCCTTCTGTTCCCCACAGCAATCAGGTTCTTTCTCTCTCTCCTGGGTTAATATTTGCTTATTTTTCAATGTTATTATTGTTGAAAACCTTTTACAAACTCTTCTTGAAAGAAATGGTAACAATGAAGCAGTAGTTACCATGCTAAGTGTTTGCTATGCTCTGCCACCTGCACAATGCAAGTTTTTAATAAGTCTTAACTCCAATTCTGATGCCTCATTCTTCTTCAGATAGCCTAGTCTCCCAGATTATTTGCTCAGCATGCAGATTGAGTAAATGATAGTGTAATGATACAACATTGATCAATGACCACATCTTGCAGTATTGATTACAAGTTGACATTCTTGTAACAAGACAAATAAGCAACATCATGATAAATGGACAGATTATAGAAGTTGTCAATGACTTTATTTTACTTGGATCCACGATCAACAACCATGGAAGCAGCTGTCAAAAAGGCCAACAACGTATTCTTTCATTGGCAAATTTGCTGCAAAATGCCTCATTAAAATGTTAACAGGCAAAATATCCACATGTACAAAATATCCACATGTACAAACATAGAAAACATTTGGTATAAAAAACATAATAACAGGCAAGGAAGTCACTTTGAGGTCTTGGGTGCACTTAACTGAAGCATGGTGTTTTAAGTTGCTTTGTATGTATGTGAAAGCTGGACCATGTCTAAATATAGGCATGCATGTATGTAAATATATACATATATATATATAAATGATAGGGAAATATCTTTGTACATATATTTATATGTTAAGTATTAAGGTAGCAGACAGACATTGGGCCTCTTTTCAAGTACTCGTTCTATGCAAGAACACTTTGTTCTAATAACCTGGGATTCCATGATGCTCACCTTCCAGACATGATCACTGAAGACAAAATGGGTGAAGCAAGCTGTGGTGAAGAAAGCTGAGGGTGCCTGGCTATCAAAAGATATAGCATCTGGGGTCCTAAAGGTTTGAAGATAAAAAAGCAGCCATCTAGCTGAGAAGCAACAAAGTCCACATGGAAGACGCACACCAGCCTGTATGATCATGAAGTATCGATGGGATCAGGTATCAGGCATCAAAGACCCAGAACAAAAAATCATATCAATGTGAATGAGGAGGAGTGTGGTGTGGAGACCCAAAGCCCATCTAGGCAACTGGACATCCCCTTACAGAAGGGTCATGGGGAGAAGATGAGTCAGTCAGGGTGCAGTGTAGCACCAATGAAACATACAACTTTCCTCTAGTTCTTTAATGTTTCCTTCCCTCACTATCATGACCCCAGTTCTACCTTACAAATCCAGCTAGACCAGAGCATGTACACTGGTACAGATAAGAGCTGGAAATACAGGGAATCCAGGACAGATAAACCCCTCAGGACCAATAATGTGAGTAGTGATACCAGAGGGGGGACTGATCACAATGGTCTACATGTAACCCCCTCCCAGGGGGATGGACAACAGAAAAGTCAGTGAAGGGCGATGTAGGTCAGTGTAAGATATGAAAAAATAATAATAATTTATAAACTATCAAGGGTTCATGAGAGAGAGAGTGGTAAAATAAGGAGCCGATACCAAGGGGTCCAGTAGAAAGAAAATATTTTGAAAATGATGATAGCAACAAATGTACAAATGTGCTTGACACGATGGATGGATGTATGGATTGTCATAAGCGCTGTACGAGCCCCCAATAAAATGATTACAAGCAAGCGAACAAACAAAAATAAAGCTGGACCATGAATAATAAAAGCCAGAAGAGTTGGTGTTCTTGAATTTTGGTGTTGGTAAAGATTATGGAATCTTCCATGGATTACCAGAAGAAGGAACACATTTGTCTTGGAAAAAATACAGCTGCAGGACTCATTAGGAGTGGGGATGGCAAGACTTCACTTCATCTATGGTAGCAAGGTCATTAGGAAGGAACAGGACTTGGAGAAGGGGAGTAAGAGGAAGAGCTTCAGTGAGATTGGCTGACACAATGGTCACAATGATTGTGAAGTTGGCGCAGGACCTGCAGTGCTTTATTCTATCGTACACAGGGTGGCTCAGTGAGGTGAACCCATTGGATGGCACCTTACAACAAGCACAATATTACATTGTTTTACATATCTTCACAGCTATTTTGTGAGATAATATAAAAAAAGGTGTCTGAAGTTGCACAATCAAGTCTCAATTGGTTAAAAGTCTATTTTAAAAATCACTATTTGATTTCTCAGTGTTCTTAGTAACAAACAATCATTCATGTTACTGTATCTTTAAAAAGCAAAGTTCTGATAAAAATCCATTAACTACTTTCAAATATAGCAATCCTCTTGTCCAGCTGTGAAAAGTACTAGATGATACTTATTTGCCATTTGTGTTATTTACGGTCCGTGACTTTTATGGTAACTGGTTCCTATTATTGGTTTCTATTAATGTAAAACATAAGTGAACATAAATGAGGCGTGAATCATTTCTTTTTATTAGCCCTACAGTCTTCACTCAGTGCTTGCAGTAACTCCAGCTGTGTCTTGTTAGTGATAACCTATTTAAAATAGAGATCTTTAAGAATAAGGAATATGATTAAAAATCTTTGTCCATTTATATCCCTTCTCCCTAGTACAACAATAATGGTGAAAGCAAACAATGCCTAATTAATGACATAGCAAAATCTTGAGCAGTTTCTGATTTGTGTTGGGCTTAGTATGATACTAATTATATAACTGGCATAATTGAGTCAGTACTATCGTAACTAGTTAACCAGTAACTAGTAACTTACTAGTAACTTAAACATAGGTTTTGCTGTAAATTACGACAGCACAACTCTGGAATTCCTCGCACTGTATAAATATAATAAAGTGGCTACTGTTGATATTAGGTTTATCAAATAATTGAGTTTCCAATTCTAAATGAAGAATACTTAAAACAATCTGAGAAATGGGGATCACCAATAAAAATATGTGATGTGTCATTCACCTAAAAGCTATAATTTAACTGGAAAAACAAATGCTTTCCAGTGTATACCCCTAGGAGAGTTTAGGAAGCCATGCTCAGAATTTCCTTTTCATAGTTAAAACTATTACAAACAAAACTATGTTTAATGAGATGATTTTTACTTGAGAGAACCTTCCTTGTTGAAGATGTGTGGTATTCTTCTGCCTTATACTTTCATGCTTAAAATAGAATACATTGCTTTAAAAAGTAAATTTAGCAAACCAACGATACTTTGTAGATATGCACCCTCCTTGGTCATCAGTAACCTGTGAAAAGTGTTCCATAATAAAATATTTGCCTTATCCTCTAACTTGTCAGGGGCCCTTCCGTGATGTCGCTGAAGTATTGCAGCAACGCTATAAGCCTTTGGAGCCAACCCTGCGGGTGGAGGAACCGATCAATACTTTACAGGAAGCCAGGGAGTTACTCCGGAGAAAGGAGTGTATGCGCAACATAAATGATAATCTGTGAGTTTTCAGTGCAAAATGGTTATCTATATCATGTTTAGTACCTTAAGTTTATTAATCCTTTCTATTTCCTAACGAAGAGAGGATATTTGTGATAAAAAGCAAAGTAGCTCTGGGCGTACACAGAACCAACCATTGTTTTAAGATGCAAATGTTTTAAGTAAGGCCAATATTGACGACGGACTAAAATCATCAGTATCCGACTGAACTGGAAAAAAAGAAAGAGTGAAATGTCATCTTAAAAGAGATGTGACCACTGTCCACGTGTTTGTAAAGACAATCTCCCTGATGATGCAGTTGGGCATTCCTTTGTATGATGCTCCTCCAATAAGATTCAACAAAAGGATTTTTCTTAACATGGACTAGGTTTCAATGCACAAATTGATATAGATGATAAAAAAGATAGTTTTGTAAAACAGGAGCATTAAAAGAGATTCATTTCTGTATGATTAAGGAAGATGAAAGATGATGTAAAAGGATATTCAAATGTAAATATTATATTATTGACTAAGGACTCAATCCATGTCTTTTGCTAAGGTATTTTTCGTCTCTTCATGCACTATCATCAAGAAAGTTATGTGTCTTATAAATAGATCATTTAAATTCTAGGATGCCTTTATTACTATTATTTTATGATATTTTATCATTAAAATAGTTATCTATTAATAGATTGATAAAACTATTAATGAGTTATAATAGTTTATTATAATAGTTTATTATAAAGGATGCCTTTATTACTATTATTTTATGATATTTTATAATTAAAATAGTTATCTATTAATAGATTGATAAAACTATTAATGAGTTATAATAGTTTATTGTGATATTAGTCTATAGTATTATCCTATGTAATAATAAGGTGCAGTAAGAGGAATAATATCCTATCAAATATTAATATTTATTAATACCCTATGTAATAATAAGCAATATATTATAAATATTATAGTAATTATAATACCATAATACATATAATAATGATGTATTCTATGATAACATTAGTTATTATAATCACAGAATGGTTAAATTAGATAATATAAAGTAATTTTAAATTTTTATAATTATTAATATAAATTATGTGTATTTATTTTTATTTCTATAATATTAATGTATGTATGCAATATTATATTATAAAATAATGCCTTCTATAATTATTTAATATGAACAATGTATTTTATAATTATATAAACTAACATATATAATAATTATTAAAAATGCCATACAAAGAGTGATTTGCTATATACATATATTAAAAAGAACCCTAAAATTGCCCCTGCTGTGCCTACGGGTCCTTGAATAACTTCAGCACTTAGAAGAGGTATATCACATGTATTATTTAGTATGGTGCATATGAAAGTAATCATACATTCCTGATAAGACTCTCAAATACCTAATACAAACTAATACCCTGATAAGCACCTTGAGTAATTTTTATTTCTTAGTAATTACTTGATATATAGTGATTAGCCATACAGTGTTTAACTAATTCTTTTAATAATTATATATAAAGTAGTAAATTATAAAAAACGGAGTAAATTCAATATAAAATAAATAAGAAACAGGAAACTTTTTAAAACATTAGTTTTGGGCAGGTAAATTTATTTTACTAAAGAGAATATAGACTATTAATGTGGCTCACATTTAGTCAAGCAAAGCATGCAATTTAGTGATGACTATCTAAGGAATTATACTACTCAGAATTATGCTTCCTTTTTTAGTGATGCAGCAGTGTATGAAATATCAAATTTAATTTCTCAAATAAATTGACCAATTGATATTTCTACAGAAATACCCATATATGAAACATACTTAAGTATCCTAAGAATTTTCTTTGATAATCTTATAATTTCTTTAAATGTACCTTATGATAATTATTTAATATGATTAATATGTGGTGTAATTAAAAGTCAGTGATTAATACATAATAACACTCGTTGATGCAATAATACACTAATTTTGATGTGATAATATAAAGTATTAGTAAACATCTTGAGTAATGTTGGCCCTAAAGAAAGATGCTCAACTTATCCTTGCTGTATAACTCTTGTGCATGTAAATATATCCAATCCCAATGGTATTGTTGATGACCTATTACACTGAACCTTTCAAACATTGCAAAGTGCTCTTAGGGTTATCAGCCAATCAGGAACAAGTCAAGTTGGGAATGTTAAAGAAATGTTTATAGATTTGAAGCTATCATATTTTTTGCAATGAGATTAAGAAATTGGTTTTAGCAACTGATCAAAGGATAATTTCATTATTCAGTGAATTGAAACACTGATATTTTTATAGTTTTTTTCTGAGATCATTTTAGTTTGAATATAGTAGGTAACAATTACATGGCAAAAGAAATGTTGGCAATTTAGGTTTTATACCTTTGCAAATAATAAGTGTGATAGAAATTTTAACAAAAGGTATTGTCTTACCACAGAAATGGTTTAGAATCTGTCTTACATATATTATAGAATAATATAAACTGTATATATAATATAATAATATTATGTTATTATATATCAATCTACATGTGTATAATAACAAAATTATATATAAATTTACAACACAGCTATAAAATCTTTGTGGACCATCTTATGCAATTGATCCCAATGTTTGCCCGCACAGACACGTATGTGTACACACATATGATAATTTGGGTGAAGGTTCACAGAGCAAATTGTTTTTTCAGTCAACTCATAACTTTTGTAACATTGAATGGAATCCCTGAAATGTGACAGGACTCTTCCCATGTGTTTCCTGTATTTACTATTTCCCTCCAGCCTTCTTTCTTATTGCTTAAAGTCTTCTGCGCTTTATACCTGGGCAAATGCTGCCCTTTTTAATCTCACATGACTAATTGTTACAATAGGTGTGTCACAATAACCTTGGTGTTGTTGTTCACCTTGTCAGTCTTTCTGTCATTTGACTGAAAATTGAGCCATGTCAGTGTGTTCAGTTCCAAGCGTGGTGGGCTGTAGTGCCAGGGGTCGACCAGTCTCTCGCAGACCAGGATGCCCTGTTCAGGTTGTATAGTGTTGAGTTTGGTGGCCTGCTTTTCTCCCACTCTATTGAAGAACTTCCGTTGTGATTCCTTCCAGAGTGGTCCCTCGTGGTAGCCAGGCACCATCTCGTTCTTCTGGCTTCAGCACCACACGGTCCATTAGTCCGTTGTTTCCGTTCATCTATGTGTTCCTTCAGTCTTCTTTGCTTTGGATGGGCGGAAACCGATAAGTCGCAGTCGGTGTCCAGCACAAACTTTGAGATATTAGCCTGTTACCCACCATAGGAGCATGTGGACTGTGGTCTTTGTGGACTGTCTTATGCAGTTGACCTTGATGCACCCTGAGATTATGTTCCTGAGGCACCCATTTCTTCAAGGTGTTTGTTTATCACTAAAAACTTTTGATCAAATTACCTTTTCTGTGCTTTACTGTGTTTATGGATATATTTGCAGCAATATAAATACATGTGTAGAAATAGTCTCTGTCAAACTTGGATATCACCATGGTGTAGTCCCATTTACTGTCCCACACCCATTTAGCTTGTATTTAGATGATTATTATCACTATTATTGCAGGGGCATGTATGTACTGGTATTTATCTTTGTTGCTTTTAGCTCTTGTGCCTTCCGGCATCAGTCTCTGCCTAATTCATTTTGTGCTGACCTCTCTCTCTTATTGTGTGCTGCCTATTGCGTCACTCCAGCAAATACTTGTGCAGCCTCTCATTAGTGGTTTGCTCTCCTTTCTCTGTTCATTCCTGTCAACTTTTAAAGAGTGTTTCTTTCAGTAACAATATAGTTATTATCCTTTGTTAACTTGGCTACCGTAACTTTACTCAGCCTAACTTCCTCGAGGTTCCTCCACATATCAGCTGTTTTATACTGCTATTCTTTTTTTATTCAAAGATATTGTTATTCTTTAATGTATTTCTCTGCCTGCATGTGACAGTTTGCTTATCCTTTCATCCGTTGATGGGCACCTAGATGGTCCACATCTTTTTGCAATGGTGAACAATGCTGTTATGAACATGGCTGTGCGTATGTCCATTTGTGTCGTGGCTCTTATTTCTCTAGGATATACACCTAGTAGAAGGATTGCTGGGTTCCATTGACATTTCTGTATTCACGGTTTTAAGGAAGCACCACATTGTTTTCCACAGGGGTGGCATCACCTGCAATGCATAAGGGTTCCATTCTAACCATAGCCTCGCCAGCATTTGTTTACTGTTGTTTTGAATGTTGCTATTAATGTTGAGGTAAGAGGATTTCTTATCATTTTTGTTTGCATTTGTCTGATTGCTGATGATCACAGCATTTCCTCAGAGGTTTGTTAGTCATCTGAGTGATGGATACTTTTCAGTGATGCATTCCTCTTGCAAACATACCAATTTTATTGGGAGAAATGGAAGACTATATTTTCCATCCAAAGGCCTTAACGAGGAACACCAAGTAAACCTGGGAGGGAAGTCTTTTTTTAAAAATCTGTAGGGCTCAAAGATGACATTGGGTTTGAGGGCTTGAATACATTTGGTTCTTTTGTTGGATAGTCATCGGAACTGTGCAATGTGGTGCACTAAGAGGAAGATGGGCGTTAGACCTAGCTCTCGGTGTGCTCAAATCATGGTGACTCCATTGCACATGCTCTTGGGTAAGTAACTAAACCTCCCTGAGCTTCAATTTCCCTGCCTGTAAAAGGTACAGAAATATTATTTTTAAAGGGGGTAATGTTGAATGAAAGCAGCCCTGTTTGTGCAGTGGTTAAAGTGCTTGGCTGATCATCATAAGGCAGGTGGCTGAATGAGAGTGGCCCACCGGGCACTCTCTGAGAGAAAGGTGTGGCAGTCTGCTTCTATACAAATTATAACCCGGACGTCCTAGGAGACTGCTCTCCTCTGCCCTGTATGGCCAGTCAGCGTGAGTCAGAACCGGCTCCTTGGCAGTAGGTCTGGTTCTGAGGCTTTGCTCTTTCCTGATGACGTGTCCCAAATCAGTAAGTCAAAGTGTTTCC